CAGACAGGAGCAGTTCTATCTGTACCTAGGATGATGTGACCCTTTTGTGGGTATTTATAGAGATCAGGGAGGGTGCCGGAGGGGGGGGGATGGTGTGTGTGGGGGGCGTGGGTTAATGAGTGGCTGCTTGTTTTGGTGTCAAAATATGTGTATATCTTCCTGGGGGTTAGGCAGGGTTTTTTCTATTGAGTTGTTAACGAGGGGCTGCTGAGCGTGATTAGCATGTGCATTGTGTGAATTGTTCATGCATCCTGGTGGTTGAACTGAGTTCATTGACCTTTTGCAGACTGTATTTTTCAGGATTGGTAGCCAGGTTTTGTTGATTTTTAGACTTTCTTCTTTTTTATTGAAACTGAGCTGGTGTTTGTGAATCTCAATAGCTTCCCGGTATAGCCTGATATAGTGGTTGTTGGTGTTGTCCAGTATCTCTGTGTTTTCAACTCTCTCTCATGGGAGAAGGCATTGGGTCATTAAGCCTGGTGTTGTCTCCAACTGACAGCAATTACCTTGGATCCAGCCCACCTCTCTTAGATTCCTGGAATCAAGTCTTGAACTTTCTACAAGAAGCACATATGCTATAACATTGACCTATTCTTCCCTCTTCCAGCATCTGGGAAAGACTGTTCTAGACTAGCTAATTGCTTGGCCACCACACTCAGTTCTCCATAGGATCCAGATCTTCCACTTCCCACCAACACTGCAGGGGCATGCAGAACCATAAAGCAGCCATGCAGCATAGACATGCAATTGTCCCAGCACTAGGAGAAATGGGCATTACCTGCCAATACCTGAACAGCCTTATCCAGATATGCACGGTAGCATGGGAGACAGAAAGAGGGGGTCAGGAGCGGTACAAAGAAAGGCAGGCCCAGACAACCAGGAATTGACTGTATTTACCCCAAAGGATGACATCTCAACCTCCCTCTCTCCCTATTTCTGTAAATGTAGCCCACCACCCCCATGCTTGAACTTCCCCTCAGTTCTCTCTGCTTCACTCTCTGTGGGTTGCACAGGTGTGCATATGGAAATCTACCATGCCACCTCATTTGTATTAGTTTCCCAGAGGGTCATGTTTAAAACAAAACAGACAGACAGACATTTGCAATGCAATCCAACCTTTTAGCAAGCATTTCCTGTGACAGCACCCCAATTATGGACCTCTTTCCTCAGTAAAGTATGGCTCTTCCCCATGCTGCTGTCCTTCTGACGTCAGATAAAAGTGCATCAATCCACCCAGGCATTTGCAGAATAACAACTCTGCTAGGAACAGAGTATCTTGTCTTTTTAAAAAAATGAACCTTTAATGAACCTTGTTTTAATTCATTTTTAGAAGAATTGTTAGTTGATTGTTGATTACCTAAGATTGATTTTAGGTTCTTCTGTAAACCACTCTGGGCTCTCCAGGAGGAAGAGTGGTTCAGAATTGAAATAATAATACTGCAGTAACAACAACAGTTGCTGACAAGCAGGGTAAGTGAAATAGTGAAGTGGTCAAAAGCATAAAGTGTACATATCTAAAATAAAAACCACATTTATCATAAATGACATTGCCCTTTCTTTTCACAAGTTGATTGCCACTCCCACTTTATCTAATTAAAATCATTAAATTTAATTACAACTTAAAGAAAATCAACAGCAGCTAAGGAAAAGATAGGAGGCCAAGTGAAATACCTTTGGGTTCTACAGGCAGCTTCTGTGCTGTAAGATGGGCACCTCTGTTTTAGCCCTTTAACCAGAGGAAGATAAAGCATCTTCTAATTCAAAAAGCATCTTTTCAGCTTCTGAGTTATCACACAACTGAGTTTAAGGGGATAATTTTACAATCCCTGCAAACAATACTACTGAACTTTTGTCAACCCACAGGAGTTTTATACACTTCTGGGGGAGAAGTGGACAACTGCCTTTTGCTCCATTGTCTTCCATTCTCTGGCCCATATAATTTGATGTTGTCTCAACTCCTGGATTGGCTTCTTCTCAATGAGATCCTTTGGGATGTCACACAACAGAAAAGCTGGGGTGAACTATCTGGGGTAGCAGGCCCTATCAGATATTCCCTTCTGCTAGTATTCACATAGGAATACGGACACAAATTTAGCTTCCTCCAGAAAAGTAATTAGTGACAATAATATACAGAGCATGATCACTCTGTGTAGTGCTCTGCACAATAACAGAAGAAAAATTGCAGGATCAGATGCCTACATCTTGCTTCTTCCTTGCTCCTAAGTCAGGATTCTCTTGTCCTTCTTGCAGAGAACCTTTAAGTTCAAACTGCAGCAAATTTTGAACAAATCAGATTTGATGGGCTTGGTCTCATGAGATCGTCTTAATTTGAACAATATGCTTGCCCAAGTCCTATAAAGACCAAATAGTTGCATTTTGCATAACACTGAAAACTTGTTTAGCTCTGACTTTGGTTTGTTTTGGAGCTGCTCAGTTATGTTGAGTGAAATCAGCCTCTTCGGTTACTTTATGTTTTAACATACCATGTGAATCCAAAAATGAGTTAATTCAGTAAACAGGGTGAGTCATTAAATGAAGCCTTGAGATGTTGGAAGCAGGGTGGTATAGGGAAGTTTGTATCAACAAAATTAAAACAAGTGTAACAAAGTTAACAAGTGCCACAGATCTCACGAAGTCATTTATCCCAACCCACTATTTAATGTAGGAACTAGAGTGCAAAGATGCAACTGCTGTCTCTTTGGCAGAGGATAATGCAGAGGCAGGAGACTAATCAACAGAGGACCAGATATTGCTACCTGATATGTCAATGAGTAACAAGTCCAGCCCTCTACAGCAGCTCTCACCTGGCTTTCCACCAACATGGCCATGTCCATGAACATATCATGGAGCTCTCGGATGCTGTTTTCCAGCTTGATGATCTCACTGTGCCGTGTCTCAATCTCATTTAGTGCTTGCTTTGTAATGTTGGAGTCCATGATGATCTAGCAAAAGAAGGCAGCATTGGAACGGTAATAGAATATGGACCAGGAAGAATTTTCCATCCTGGGTAGATATCTCTGGAGACCACATTCTCCTGATTTTCTATGGCTGGTTAGAGCAATTTTACAAAATGGTAAAAACTGCTTTCCTAAAAATTATGGTTTTCACTGGGGGGGGGGGGAAACAGAGCTCCTAGCACACATGGATTCATATGTTGGTGGACAATGCCAGCAGACATCTGAAGAATCAGAGATACTGAACCAGGGACTGAATATCATTGTTTTTCATAGCCTCCCATAAAGAAAAGTCCCAAAAGAAAGTAAAACAGTATAAAATGCAGAATTAAATATACCATTACCAACAATAAATTGTGCATGCAACTCCATGCTCATCGCCCATTGTTGATTTTGTGGTATAGTGGAACCTGTATTACAAGATCAAGAGTCAAGGTAAAGGATCATGGTTCTTGGTTATGCCAGTGGAAAGGGAACTTCTACTTTTCTTCTTGATCCTACTTTACTTTCAGGAATCACCTCTGACACTCATTTCTGACAACATGGCTGGATTGCAAGGATGCAAGGATGGCATTGCTAAATTCTACTCTCAGCAGTGTGGACAAAAAAAAAAAGGTTGGCCAAATCACAAGGCAAAGGGAGAGAGTGCTTACCCCAGAGGAGAAAATAGCTGGATTCCCACTCTCCAGCATGTCCTCCAGTTCCTCACTAGTGGTGGTCCTGCCAGCTGCAAAGGACATTAAGAAGCTAATGGTTGGTTACAGAACAACAGAATCTATCTTTCCTTCCCAACATCCAATATTTCAAACCTTGTCCATATCTCTTACTCAGATCCTTTCAGATGATTCTCGTAGCCTGCCTCTGTTACCCTTTTCAATTTTACCAACATCTCAGTCAAACCACAGCTTTCAGAACTAAGTCCAATAGCCTAAGCAAATGTATCAATATGAACCATAGCCCAGTTATCACGGTCTGCTCAGAGACACTGCAAAACTGATAAAAACTGGTACCTATCCATCAGTAGAAACAGTACATATAGAATCTAAATTTCATTTTTCTTTTCTTTTTTTAAACGAAAGCATGGTCCTAATGTGGCCCGCCAAGCAGTCACTACTTTCACCTTAAACATGTTCCTCATTGCCGGCTATCAAAGCCATCAGGATATCTGAGATTGTTGAAATTTGTCTCAGTAATTTTAATTGCTATTTCCATTATATCTAGTTCAGCATTTCTTATGTCTAAGTTAAATAAATAAGGTGATGGTGTACTCCCTTCCCATTTTGAACCATTTAGATGTTCTATATTCTGTTCTAATTGTTGCTTCTTGGTCATCCTACACATTCTTCAACAGGTAGATGAGATCACCTGCACACTCATCTTTTTGAGGGCTCTCCACAATTTGTTGTGGTTTATCCAGTCAGAGCCAGTTGTGGTTAAAACACATAAATTAGGAGACTGTGAGTTCTAGTCCCACCTTAGGCACAAAGCCAGCTGGGTGACCTTGGGGCAGTCATTCTCTTTCAGCCCTAGAAAGAAGGCAGTGGCAAACCACTTCTGAAATCTTGCCAGAAAACTGCATGGACTTGTCCAGGTGGTTGCCAAGAGTCAAAACTGACTCAAAGATAGCAAAAATGCCTGCCTGCCTGCCTGCCTATCTCTATCGAATCCTAGGATTATGAATACAGTTTTTTAAAAAAAGGTTTTTGGGCACAGTCTTTCCTTTTACATTACCCAGCAGATGTTAGCAATGTGGTCTCCAGTGCTCCTGAGTCTTATTTTAGGTATTGTTGAAGTAAGGACTGTAAAATCTAGGACGTTAGTTAAGTGCAATTGCTTGGTAGGTTTTGGAATTCTTTAGCGCTACTCTTTTTTTTAGTACTGGAATTTAAATCTTTCCCAGTGCCTTGACCACTGCTGTGTTTTCCACATTTGCTTACAAACCACAAATAGCACTTTAAACCACCCCATGGTGTAGGATTTTAAACACTTCAGCTGGAATTTCAGCAATTCTTGCAGCTTTGTTACTAACAGTATTTTCTAGGGCCCATGCAACTTCATTTTCCAGAATATCCGGCACTAGATGAAGGTGACAAATCTTGCTGGAAGGTGAGATTCACCTTCTGCTTCAGCAACTGGGAACCCCAAAGTGAGATTTGTTTGAGATGTACATATCATTTTAATATGGTTTCTGTATGCACACTGATCCTACTTCAGACAGATTACATGGAGACCTAGCTCTCTGGAGAAGTCTGTAATGCTGGGAAAGATGGAAGGAAAGAGAAGAGGATGACAGCAGCAAGGTGGATGGACTCAGTTACAGTGGCGATGGGTGCACCATTGGAAGAACTGAAGGAACAGGTTAGGGACAGATCACGATGGAGAAATCTATGTGGTTGCTAAGAGTCGACAATGACTTGATGGCACATGATCATTGTAATCATGTACACTGAAATTGTTTTGAAATACAAAATGGTCTCTCCAAAAATTATAATTTGTAATTTAAAAGATAAGGAAATAAGGTAATGTGTAGAAGCAACTATAATTATATTTTAATAATATGGAACTTAACTAGTGTAAAGTTAATTCAGTTTAAATTAAATCCTATTCAGCTTTGCACTTCTCTTATCCATTTCTTCATCCAATCTCATTTTGGAGTGTGATTCCTGCCACGTCACTCAGAAGACAAATACAACTTTTGGCCAAGTAAAGTTGCATCCATTCTATCCACCCATCCACCTAGATCACAGGGAGCTGTCACTCCACAAAGACCACGAAGCTGGAATGTACAACAATCTTCCTCCTGATATACACACAATTGGACAATATGGCACCAAAGAGCATGTCTGTATCTGGTATGCTCACTGCCAATTTTTGTGCCCCAGAAAATCTGTACAAGCTGATGACTCCAAAATGGCAGGATCAGAGCTTGGAATCTTAGCAAAGAACTTTTAATATTCGCTATGGGGCAAAAGGGAAACTGTTTTGCTGCCACAAATGGATCAGCCGCTGGAATTGCTGCTGACAAGGCTGCTGGGGAAACTAGAAGCCTTTGGACCAGCTGCCACCCCTTCAGGGAAGAGAGACAGAAGACGCTGGGGGCGGGGGGCAGGCGGAGGGGAGAAGAGAAGGGAAGAGACAGGCAGCCCAGAAGCAAATCTCAGTGATTAGAGACACTGAACAAAAGATGCTGAAGAGCAACTGCACCATGCCATGCAGGAACTAGTACTGCTGTGTTGACAACTGGACGCCAGAATCCCTCTCTAGCCAGATGCATCAATATTGTTTTTGACAAAGGGATATATTGTTGGACTAACCATGCAGGCAAACCCAAATCCAAACCACCGCTCCGCCATCATGCTCGCTGGGAGCGTGAGATCCGTGACTATCTCAGCACAACCTGCCTCCCGGGGCTGTTGCAGTGTTCACACAGTGGAACAGATCTTGGCTTAGCACAAGTATGAGAATTCAGCCATTCTCAAATGTCTGATATCAAGTCCTTGTGAACACTGCGAAGATTGCAGTTTCCTTGAGATACAGGATCACAGAACAAATTCTGGAAAACCATAATATTGTTGCAGGAATGATTGTAAAAAAAAGGTTTATAGCAGCCGAGCCATTGGATTAGCAATTTATGTCCCATATTTTGATATCCACATATAGTGTGTCTTATCTCACTACATACACAGTGTTTGTTATGTGAAGGTTTAATGTTACATTTTTCATTAAATACTTCCTTACAGGTCCTTTTTAGATCCAGCCTGTGTTTCACACTTCTTATAATTATCAAATGGCGGTTTAGCCCCTGCTAGCAAAAGCAATTAAAGGGGTTTGCACCACCAGGCCCTAAGTTATCCCGCAGTTCATCACTGATCAGATCCTAGAGATTCAAGCTTCCTCTTTCCTCCATCACTACTCCATACGATGAAAGGATGGGTATTACACAATCCTCCCTTCCTACTCACTGTGCCCGCAAGCAGCTTTTCTCTAATTCCCTGTCTCTCCCACTCAATACTTCTAATCTCTCCAATGCACACCGCTGCCCCCTTACCCTTTCTGCCAGCTATTCACTATCCCCTCCTTTTATGCTGCCAGCCTGAAAAAGACAGAGCGGACAGAGCGGACCTCAAGGCATCACTTGCTCTTCTGCAGCACGGTATATTTTGCAGTTACAGCCTACAGACCGAAGAGGCAGGGGGCCACTACACAGCCTCTTTTCCAGCTCTCATCTCTCCCATGGGAACATCTGGCTTGTTTGTGGCAAATAGGAGAGGAAAGGAGCGGCAACCTGCTTGCTCCAAGGTCAGTCTGCAATTGGGCCAGGCACCCCAAACTTCCCTGGTGGAAGCTGAGAAATGGTATGGAAAACTTATGCTTTGTATGGTCTAAATCAGTCTTCTGATTTAGCATGCTGGCTTGGAAATTCTGGGAGTTGAAGTCCATGCATCTTAAAATGGCCAAATTTGAAAAATTGGTCTAAATCAATGTTTCCCAATCTTGGCAATTTCCACCAAACCTAGCATTTTATTTATTAGATTCATATGTTGCCTGATTTTCTCAGATTCCTGGAGGTTTACAATAGTAAAAAACCATATCAGAAGAAAATTAAAATGTCCATGGTAATTATAACCCCAAACAACAATTTCCACAACAAAAAAAATATATAATACCAACAAAAATCAATCAATGATCACAAAGGCTGATGATATTCATTCCCAAAGCAGTCCTATGTAGAGTCCATTGCAGAGGTCCAGCTGAACGGTGACACACATTGACACCATATCTGGGTCTTCCCACTCCAGGTAGGGCCAGAACTGGCACACCAGCGGTATCTGAGCAAGGGCCTTCTTGACCACAGCCTCCAACTGTGCAACTAGCAGTATTTGTGAGTCCAAGAGGACCCTGAAGTCACAGACCAGTTCCCTTAGGAACAGTGCCACTCCCTGGAGAGACAACAGTAGAGCTGACAGAAGACTGTGATGAACAAAGAACAACTCCAGTGTGGTTCAGCTCAACTTTAGCTTGTTTTATCCCACCCAGAGCCCAGGACAAGACTTCAATAATATCTCCATTCGGGCCCATGGTTACAATAAAAAGTTGAGTCTCATTAGGATATCCAGTATACTGTCCTACCTGAGTATGAATTGTATCTTAGTTAAATTAGTCTGTTCTGATTCTATGGCTAGGGGACTCTGTGTTAAAATTAATTTTCTTATTTATCTTTCTTTTATAACAAAACATATTTTTTTCACTGTAAAAGAAATAAATACTAAGAAGAGATTAGGAATTTGAACCCTGCCTTAAAGAACAGAAATTTATTTCATTAATCTGCCTTCACAGAATATTTGGTGGAAAATGGGAGAATATAAATTGAATAGATGATCTTTCTCGACCTGAAGAGGAAGCTTTGAACTATATTACAGTAGCTCTGAATGCTTCAACAAGAACCTGACCAAAACAAAAATAATGGTACCACAATACTGTAAAAATAAAAATTATGACAAACCAATTGTGAAAATAGGACAAATCAGAAAAACATTGGACTGCACCATTCCAATCCTCTGAAAGAATTGGCTGAACAAACAGATGGTGATCTGAGTGAAAAGGGCTAATGAGGAAGCCACTCACTTATTTCCAGCTGTCTTTGGATTCTTCCCTTACAGCGCTCCCGGTAATCAGACTGGGTTGCATTATATTCTGACATCACCTCCACAAACTTCCGCGATAAGGTAGAATGCTGGGGGAAAAAGAACATAATTACAACAGAATGTTTCTGGAAATGATGGGCACTGCTGGCCTATACATCTACAAGCTTCTGTGAAAATCCAGTTTTCCTCAATTTTTAGATTCAAAAAGAAAATGCTCTTTCATTCTACATTGAATTAATACATGGAATTTATTTATTTATTTATTTATTTATTACATCACATGGCTACCCATCTCATAAGAAGTGACTCTGGGCGACATGCAACAATAAATAAAAACAACAAATATATATATAAAACAATCATTATAAAATATAAAAGTAATTATTAAAAATGGAAAAAAACACTATAAAATTTTTAAAATATATAAACCATACAGAGAGAGTACAAGACATCCAAGAAAGTCTCCAGCTCCCTGGGACCATCAGGCCTGGTGACATAGCCAGGTCTTCAGGGAGTTCCGAAATTATAACAGGGATAGAGCTAACCTGACTTTGGGGGTGGGGGAGAATGTTCCATAGGGCAGGTGTCAGGATCTACGCAAACCAGAATCTTCCATTCTTTTCTTTTATTGCTTTTAGTGTTGTTGCAAAGTATATATCAATGGGTGAACGGTGGAATGTTGGGAATGTTATTGTAAACCGCTTGCTTGACCTGCCATAAAAAAGAAAAAAGGGGAGAGGAGGCCAGGTGCCGTTATCTTTATCTTGACACAGGCAACCAAGGCCAAGAGGTGTGAGAACCAGGGCAAGGCGCGAAGAATTTCAAGCGGGAAAGGAATGATAGAAGGGGGGAGTTTGGGCTTAAAAGGACAAGGTTTTGCTTTGTAGAATTAGACTCAACAAATTATAGATGTTGTACGTTTCTCCTAATAAAGAAATCTTTGATGGAACTCCTTGGTCTCCAGAGGATTTACTGAACTTTGGGATTGAGTGTGCAGACTCTGACAGCAGGCACCACGGCAGAGAAAGCCTGCCTCCTGGGATCCACCAAAGGTAGGTCCCTGGCTGATGGTACCTGCAACATGCCTTCTCTGCCAGATCTAATGGGACAGGCTGATGTAATCAGGGAGAGGTGGTTTATCAGATAACCCAGTCCCATGCCATGAAGGACTTTAAAGGTTAAAACCAGCACCTTGAATTGGACCCAGAAGCAGATTGGTAACCAATGCAGCTCGTGGAGTAGAGGTGTAATATGCCCTCTTCTGGGAGCACCCATAACTGTCCACCCTGCTGGATTCTGAACCAGTTGAAGCTTCTGGATACTGTTCAAGGGCAGCCCCATGTAGAGCGCATTACAGTAGTCCAATCTGGAGGTGACTAGAGCATGAGTGGCTGGGACTACAGCTTCCTGATCTAGGAACAGGTCCAGCTGACACACAACCTGAAGCAAAGGCCCTCCTAGCCACGACTGCCACCTGCTCTTCAAGGAGGGATTCTGAACCAGTTGAAGCTTCTGGATACTGTTCAAGGGCAGCCCCATGTAGAGCGCATTACAGTAGTCCAATCTGGAGGTGACTAGAGCATGAGTGGCTGTGACTACAGCTTCCTGATCTAGGAACAGGTCCAGCTGACACACAACCTGAAGCAAAGGCCCTCCTAGCCACGACTGCCACCTGCTCTTCAAGGAGGAGTCGTGAGTCTAGGAGGACCCCCAGATTGCACACTGGGTCTGTCTGGGGCAGTGCCACTCCATCCAGCACCAAAGATGGCATAGTCCTAGAACCAGTAGGACCCCAAACCCAAAGCCACTCAGTCTTGCCAGAGTTCAATTGAACCCAGTTGTGCCCCATCCAGGCCCTCACAGCCTCCAGGCACCAGGATAAGATGTTCACAGTATTGCTTAATTCACCAGAGGCAGAGATGTATAGTTGGGTATCATCAGCATACTGCTGATACCCCATCCCATGGTGACGGATAAGCTCACCCAGCAGCCTCATGTAGATGTTAAATAGGAGAGGTGACAGCACCAAACCCTGTGGCACCCAACATAGTAGGAGCCAAGGGTGGGATCTCTCCTCCCCAATCACCACTGAATGGAATCGACTCTGAAGAAAGGAGGCAAACCAGCACAACACCGTGCCATCTACTCCCAATCCTCTGAACTGATCCAGAAGGATACCATGGTTGATGGTATTAAAAGCACAACCTCCATCCCACCCACGCCAGAGATCATCCAAAAGTGCAACCAATGCTGTTTCTGTCCCATAGCTGGGTCTGAATCCTGACTGAAAAGGACCCAGATAATCCGCTTCATCCAAGTCCCTCTGAAGCTGTTGCACAACCACCTTCTCAATCACCTTCCCCAGAAAGGGGAGGTTAGACACTGGCTAAAAATTGTCCAGTATAGTGGGGTCCAGCGATGGCCTCTTGAGAAGGGGATGAACCAAGGTCTCTTTAAGAGGTAAAGGAACAAATCCTCACTCAAAGAAGAATTAACCACCACTAGAACCCACTCGCATGACATCCCCCGGGCTGCTTTCACAAGCCAGGAGAGGCATGTATCTAAAGAGCAGGTGACTAAGCTCACATTCCTAAGAACCCTGTCTACTTCCTCAGGTCCAACAGGTTCAAACTGTTTCCAGATAACCGGACAAGTCTCCACCTCAGGCATCTCCTCTAGACCTGCAACAAGGCCAGCGTCCAACTGTGAGCGAATCCAAGCGATTTTGTCCAACAAATGCTGAGCAAATTCCTACATACATCCCTACAAAAGGTTCCCCAGGCCCCTTTACCCCAAGAGGACTCGTGTCACCCAAAACATGGCTGCAATCTGCGGATTCAATAAGAGCAGAGAAGTACTGTTATGTACTATTAAGTAGTGAATTTATGGAAGATGAAGCCATGGCCAATGGCTTAAAAAGGGGATGCAACAAACTTGTGAAAAATGAGATGCACACCAATGTTAGCTGTGAATATTAAATGGATCTTTCATGTTCAGAAGAAGTATACCCTCTTATCAAATAAACAGCTCTGTTGCCTGTCTATGGCAAGCCTTCTTGAAGCCACATGGCCAGACAGGTAAAATTAAATGTTAATCTACAAGAAGTCCCCTTGGTCTACTTTTTATATTCTTATGTTAATAAAAGAGAGAAAAAAAGCTGAACCCAGAAAAAAAAAAAATTCAACAGCCCACATTTCACTGCCCCATCAACACTGTATTTGGGATATTCATATGATTACAGAACAGCCAATTTTATTTATTTATTTATTTATTTATTTGTTTATTTACAGAACAGGCATTTATTTATTTATTTATTTACAGAACAGGCCATTATTTATTTATTGGATTTCTCCCCTGCCCATCTCCCCCACAACAGGAGACTCTGGGCGACTTACAAAAAACATTAAAACTATAAATACATCTAAAACACATAAAAGATCCAAAATTTAAAACAATACTAAAAAAGGAAGATCCAAGAAGATGGAAAATCAGGCTGCG